TGGAACGTCCAATTTTGTTTTGGATCTATGGCCTGTGGACATTTGTTAGGTCCTCACATGGTCTTTGATTGCTGCAGCGAAAGACAGCGAAGAGTGCCAGCACTTTATTCCCCAATAAAAGGTTCAATTCAAATAAAACGATGGGCAGAGGCGCCGCATAAGCTACTGAGCAGAAGGGGGATGTTAGTTGTGTTGAGGCGGCCAGCTAGTAGCGTTTGTTGGGGCAGGACGTGGCAGACCAATGACGCGCGTTGATTCCAAGACTGAGAATCTGGGTTTTTAGAAGGGGTTTGTATAGGGAAAAATTATGGAGGGAAAAGAAGGGCAAAGTAAGTGAGAAGGTAGGTAATATAGAATTATTTAGAATTTAGTGAAAATGTTAGAAATTAGTGAGTGGAGGGAAGTAGGTCGAAGTAGGAATTCATTGAGAGGAATGAAATAGGTTGATTTATAGGGTTACACATCACATGTGGAGCAAAATGACCGTTCTTGCAATAGGACCAAGTGGCCATTCCATCGACAGTCCAGCCAACAGTTGGTTGCTGATGACACATGCTACCGCTTAGGCTACGTCCGACTGCTTCCGTTCCTCATAGAGATTGAACGCGGAGGGATTTACGAAGATTAAACAAATATGGAGGGATTTTGATTCAGTTATCTGTTTTTACAAAAAAATATGTTTATCAAAAATATATGTTTAGGAATCCAAATCTCCCTTCCGATTCAAGCTGGCTGGCCTTCGAACCACGACGACACTGGTACATGAATTTCAACTATTCTACGTATGATGCAATTTCCATACCTGGCACACTGCAGCGCGATTATCGCTGGGAATTGGTATCGTTCTGGAATATATACTTACCATCGGTGAGTCTCCGCTTTTTGCTGCGCTGGGTTGCAGCATGAGCGTTATTTTTTTTTGCATCCCGTGACGGAATTTTATAAATAAGCGGAGTTTTGCACGGAAAGAAAAGTATGCAGAAGAATCAGAATGAGGGCTGAATTAAACCCCTACTATGGCAATAGCGCTGGAAAGATGAACTCACGAGAGGTAAGCCTGTGGAGACAAACATGGCATTAGATCAGCATTTGGAATGCTTGGTTCAGCCATAATATTCATGATCTGGTTCTCCAGCCATGCATTTTGAAGCTTTTCCGGTTGTTTTGACTCATTTGATGGTCAGCCTACTGGCGATCCTGACGTTCGTTTCGTTTCCTCAAGCTCAGTACTGTGTCCCAACACAGGTGGTTTAGAATGATCGCCGTGACATTGAGTATCTAAATGATTTAGAATTTTTTGAAACAGGATGTATCCTTCATTTTAGCAAAATTTTCATCTTTGTATTGCTGTTTCTGGAAGAAAATTTTTATAAAATTCAATCTTGAAGTGCACATTACTTTCATTTCAGTTGGTGCAGTACATGACGACAACATTTTCGCCATTTGAAGTGAAAATTCGACGAGAATTGGTAGCATATCAGATGGCAACTGGTGTAATTGTTTGTATATTAATGGTTGCCCTCGTCCTAATGTGCCTTTTTGCGTATCTCTTGTTTGAGAGAAATTCAAAATTGTCTCGGAAGGAGTTTGATTGTAAGCAGTTGATTCGTAACACGGATGGTGGCTACCCACCACGCCATATTAGTCAGGTTTCTTGTCTTTGATACGTCTCTCTGGAGCCATTTTCTTTCAATTTTTGCATTTTGCATTCATTTTCTTGGCATATTTTACGGAATTCCCCAAATTTTTTTTCTCTATGAATAGTCCAAGCAGCAGTGCTTTCGTACGGAAAGTATAGTTGAGAAAGCTAGTTTTTTTTTTTTTTTCATTTCGTTCATTCGTTTTGATGGTAAGTTGATATTAACGCGAACTAATGGTTCAAGCCAGCGGTTGAAATCTCAGACAGGCGGGCATCATCTTACATAAAGGCAGAGCTCTTCAATACCATCATTCTCCCTGTGCTGCTTTATGGATGCGAAACGTGGAACACCATTGTCGCAGAAGAAATGAAACTAGCTGTTATACAACGATCAGTGGAGAGACGAATGTTGGGTGTCAGCAGAACACAGCGTATACGCAGCAGTGAGCAACGACTACGTTCTGATGTGAGAGATATAATAGATGTATACGAAGAAAACGGAGATGCATCGGCGACGTAGCAGGGATGACTGATAACAGACGGACGAAACGCTTTATCGATTGGTACCCACGACATGTAAAAAGTTCGGCAGGAAAGCCATGGATGCATTGGTGCGATTCGTTAACTCGATTATATGGAGTGTTGTGGATGAGGCGAGCTCTGGGTAGGACTCGGTAGCGTGGTTTCGACTCAGTCACTGGAAATCGGTGGCGCTTCAGTGACGTAAACGCTGTATCGAGTACGTAAGTAACGGTTTAAGCGACCGTTAACCATAGTAAGAATAACTGATAACAGATGGATGAAACGCTTTATCGATTAGTACCCACGATATATAAAAAGGTCAGCTGGAAGGTCACCGATGCGTTGGTACGACCCGCTAACTCGATTATATGGATTATTGTGGATGAGGCGAGCTCTGGATAGAATTCGGCGGCGTAGTTAGTTCAGCCACTGGAGCAGGTCAATAGCGCGTTACTGACGTAAACGCTTTATCTAGTAAGTAAGTAATGGTTTAAGCCACCGTTAACCGGCTTGTAAAGCAACCCTTGAAAAAGAGGACCTGCAAACGATTGCTTTTGACACCTACTACGGCTCATTTTCTTTCAAATGTCTCCACTTCTTACAGAGAATGATTACTAATTAAGACATGATCCTGAATTCCGCGATGCTTTTGTGATTTTTTTTCTCCTGATTGCTATTTTTTGTTGTGTCTTTGCTGGCAGTCTTTCGCGGTTGAGGTGAACGAGCTTTCGTTTTCTAGTTTTTAGAGAAAAACATATGTATCACATTTCTTTTGCCTGTTTTTGGAGGGCAGCGTAATACATCTCGCATTTAGCCGCAGAAGAACCAGGAAATATCTCTTAATCACTTTGATATTTTGATCAGTGTAGCGTGCCTTTGTCATATCATTTTTCTCATTTTTTCGGGCTGTCAAGACCTCAGATGTTCTAATTTCAGTGTCATATCCTACGTGTAACCATGCATCCAGCCAATAGAGTTTATTGCTTTAAGCGCATCTGTGGCGTCTTACTTTTTTTGACATGGAGTTGACTCGTAGTTCGGGAACAGCGTTGGCAGATCAGCACAGATATATTATCTTTTTCAATAGCTACCATGAATTTTACAGTATCGGGAATATCTAAACATTCAGCGTAGAGATTCTGTGGACGTATTAGCCAGTAACACTCACTTGTGAGGCAATAAATAACCATTGGTGACTCATAAAGAGGTGTAAAGAGGAGTTATTGGAGAGATGTAGCTTAGTAATAAAAAAATAGGAGTTATTGAAAGGAGTAATAAGATAGGAGTTATTGAAGGGATGTAGCTCAGGGTCGAATCCCTTCTTTCGTCGCCAGTCATTGTATTCACGTACTGCTGTAGCACTACTGGAGTAGTTTGCATAGAAACATACAAATATTTCTTGCACATGTCATTTCTCAGTAGTATTTGGTAGTCCGCAATGATGAACATGCCATGTCGTGCACGTGACAAGGCCACGATGATGCGCTCATAATTGTGGAAGAATTCCAGTCCTGTGAAGTAGTTACACGTGGCGTGCGGGGACAATACTGCAATAACAACACTAACACTGGTTTCCTCTATCACTTGTCCCTATATCACTTGTCCTATATCACTTGTTCTGAATGTCTTCGGCTTTGTAATTATTTCAGTATTTGCTAGACAATGGTTAACGATTTATCATTGCTGATTGATTTTGTTTTCCTGTGATTTGATCTCGATTGTTAGCATTCCTTGCAATGTGTCTTTAAAATGTTTCAAACATTCCCTGTATGTTGATATATCTTTCATTTTCTATCTCTCACCAATGCTTTATAGCAATTTTGCATTAATTTGCTCAAACCCATGCACTTACATTATATTCATGACTCAAGGAAATGTGTAGAATTTGCGTGTAATTAAATTTTTAACGTATTTGACGTGAGAAATTGATCAGGCATATATCCATACGTGTAATATCATTATTTTATTTTGATCGTTTGTTTGCTACTTCTTCAGTATTCAGTTTTTGGATCGAGATTTTATGCGTTCGAGATTGATACGATATTATAACAGGTGTTTTTGTTTTCTCGGAAAGCATGTGGGATACTTGAATTGGGTTTTGATTCATGCTGTGGTTCTGG